GGTCTTAAAAATGTTAGGTTGTAAGAAGGATGATTGTATTTGTCTCAAATATTAAAAAAAAACATTTATTTAGTTTTTAAAAATTATTCACCAAATTTACTGCAGCTAGTTGTTTTGTGCTAAAATAAACATTTAGGTAAAATTGTTGCTGTTTTTTTTTTACATTTGTGTTTATTGTGATGTTGGTCTTAAATTTAATTTCAAGTGGCATTAAAAAGTCTTAAAAAGACTTAGATTTAACTTTCTTTAAGCTGTAGGAACCCTGTTTATAGTTTCATTTTGAAATCTCTTTATAAATAAAGTTAAAGTATAAGTATGTCCTGTTTTAAAGACACACAGGTCACCTGATACTTGTGTGCAGCTTTCTGCGACCTATTATAAATACCTCAAAATTATGCTCTGAAATATTTAGCTAATTCTCTAGCTTATAACTTATGAAAGTCTTTTTTAAGGATCCCTCAAATATAGTTGCCCAGTACACTGAATAAACTCACATACAGTTGATCAAAAAGCTAAGGTTAACARAAAACCTAATGCCATTTATTTAAAAACTCTTCCACCTTCAGCAATCACAGAGCGAAAGCTTTCTGACTAAAAAATAAATTAAAATAATAAAATCTGCAATCCAAAAGAATTTGACAGAAAATGCGGTGTTTGTCCTTCAGATTATCTTCTCAGCCTCGTCACACCAGAGCCAACGTTTAGCAATTAGAGATGCAGGGAGAGAAAAAAAATGCTCCCTAGAAGTGCTTAGTGATTTCCTCCCATCCTTTAACTACTGCCCATCTTCCATCATGTCTACAAGCAAGCAACACATGAACCAGCTAAGCCCCGCAGCAGGCACACCGCCTCCATATCTCCTAAAGATATAGTATTATCCTGCTGGGTGCGTTTCAGCCAMAAACTGCTCCATTTTTCCATTGCTCAGTCTCACTATCCCTCCATCATGAGCCGAGTGGGGCATCAGAATGTTATCAGGCCCCAGGCAATCAGAGATACAGTCATATGTCACAAATAGGTGTCAGCTCTTATTACTGCGAGGGGGGTGTGGGGGTGAAGGCAAGTGAAAACTCACTTATCAGAAAGGACATAGCTCTGACACTTGCAGCCCCCCTCCCCTCTCCGTTTGCTCTCTTTTCTCCCTTTGCCCGGCCCCTGCTGGTTATCACCTCGTTCCCTCACAGGCCGGCAATATTTGGCCAATAACACAAACGTAATACGGCTTCCCTCTTCTCTCTGCCACAATCACAGCTGATTTAATGGAGCTGTAAGCTGCCAGTTTAGTTTATTCACTGCTTCTTAAAGGATGGGAGGTGAGCCTGCAGGTACTGGAAGGACACACACAGCTTCATCTCTGCTTTCATACACCCGCGCCCACTATTACGATATTATGGTATTTGTTGGAGATTGCTATGATTTATTGCTTGTTGTTGGGTTTTTGGCCCAGTTTAGCCAACTTGGGATGAGAAAAGTTTTCCCAGCTCTTATCATCTTTCTCTATTTATTCCATTTCCTGTCACCTTAGGGTTTTTCAGCGTGATACTAAACAAAGTTTTAAAGTCATGTTTGCAGAAGTTATTGTAAAAAATTATAGCAAATAGTTTAGGTAACAAGATGATGCTGTTATGTTGGAAGAGTTTATTACAGAGGAAGGCAAGAAAATAAGCTTAAACGTATGTTTTTGTGGTGTTTTGATTTAGCACTTTCATTAGCAGTCTTTATGATTTCATCTTACATTGACTGTGTTTATTTACAGTTTCAGAGAAACTGGATGCTGTGATTTATTTTTCAACATAATTGACTGTTGTTGTGTGCTACGTCTCATCTCCTCTGGAAGTTTTTAAGATCCAGAACTAACAGGAGGTCTTTAAAAAKAAATTTAGTAATAATATAATCATTATTCAATATTCTAAACAACTTTTAAAAGTTAAAGTAGCATCTGCTACTATAGGTGGTAGGGCTGTGTATTGGCAAGAATTTGGCGATACGATACATATCATGACAG